ATTCCACTGAGCTATCTCCCTGGCTCCCCAGCCCCCTAAAGAGAAGTGGACACTGTGCTTTTATCACTTGACTTTTTTTTTTTTTTTTTTTTTCAGAACTGGGTATTGAACTCAAGAAGCACATATTCCACTGAGCCATGTCCCCGGCCCACTAAACTTGATTGATTGATTGATTGATTGATTGATTGATTTTCAGAACCGGGGCTTGAACTCAGGCCCTTGCGCTTGCCAGGCAAGCATTTATTCTACTGAGTTATCTTCCCAGCCCCTCTCCCAACTTATAAAAATGTTATATTTATTCATTTATGTAAGTCTTTAATTTAGCTCATCAAAGTTTTACAATTTTTAGCGTACAGGTTTTTTATACTTTTTTAAATTTTGTACCTAAATACCTATTTCAGTTTTTTTAAAAGCTTTTAAAAGATTCCAACTATCTGTTGTTCATTGCTAGTCTATGGAAATAAAACTGTTTTCTTTTTTTTTTAAACTTTTCTATATCTTGATCTTGTATGTACCCTGTGACCTTGCTAACCTAGCATATTCTAGTAGCTTTTCAACAGATTGTTTGGTATTAAGGGGATACAGATGAATGTCCATTTTGTATCTGTGTATTCAAAGTGGTTAGGATAGATACATAGTTACATTCTCTTAATGAATAGAGGAATTTGTTCTAATGGTGTTTGTAAATAGGATATCATGTCCGCATCTTGTACAGCAGTTAACCACTAGGAAGAATGTATGCAATGTGTTAATTATTGAAACTGTCCTACCAAAAAAAACAAAAACAAAATATTAGGTAATCACATCTTTTGCAAATAGAAGTTTTAATTTTCTTTTTCAATCTCTGGGCCTTTGTTTCTTGGCCATTGTGAAAGTGGACCTTTGTGTCTTATTCCCTACCTTAGAGGGAAACATTCAACCTCTGAGTTTTTCAGAGATACCCATTATAAGGTTGAAGATATTCCCTTTCATTCCTAGGTTTGCTGACAGTTTATTAGGAATGAGTGTTGAATTTTGTCAGGTGTTCTTTTTCTTCTATTGAGATAGTTTGTTGATAGGGTGAATTACACTGCTTGACCTTTGAATGTTGAACCAACATTGCATGCTGGATTCAATTTGCTAATGTTTTGCTGAGTGTTTTTGTAACTATGTTCATAAGGGATAATGCTCTATAGTTTTTTTACAATAATTTTCTAACCAGGGGCTGGTGAGATGGCTCAGTGGTCTAAAGCACCTACTTAGAACAAGCTAAGCTTAGCAAAGCACAGGGACCACGGTTCAATCCCCAGCACCACATGCCAGCCAGCCCCGCCCCCTGGTGGGCTGAGCTGCCCCCCCCACAAATAAAATATTAAAAATAAATAAAGAAAACTAATTAAAAAATAATTTTCTAACCAGGATAATGTTGGTTTCATTAAATAGTGTTGGAAAGCATTTCTTCTTGTTTTCTGCTAGATTGTAATAGCTTTGATACTACTTTTTTATTTTATTGGTATATTTGAGGTATACATAGTGATAACATTTATTATATGGAATTTGTACCTATACATGATATGTCTTGCTGCTTCTTTTTCCCATTCCCCTCCCCTCCCTCCAACCCATACTACATCTTTTTCAACTGGTATAGTTCAACAGTGAAGCCATCTGTGATTGGTCTAGGAATTTAATTTCTTTAATAGAGTACTCTAAAAGTTACTTTTTGAGGAAGCTTTGTTTTGTTTTTCAACAAATCTATTTCATCTGCACTAGCAAATGTGTTGCCCTAAAATTGTCTGTAGTATTTTCTTAATGTGTTTTCAATGTCTATAGCTCTTTCATTTCTAATACTGGCAATTTGGGCCTACCTGACAGGCCTAGCTAATATTTTATCAATTTTATCAGTTTTTTCAAAGAAACAACTGTAGATTCATAGATTTTTCTCTGATTTCAATTTTACTGATTTTTGCTTTTATTTTTCATTCCTTATGCTTTTGTTAAATCTGATTAACTCTTTTCCTTCTATTATATGTGGTAAATTTATGTTTGTTGAGATGGAGTCTTTGTTCGTGGCTGACCTTGAACTTGCTATGGAGTCCAGCCTGGTCCCAAATTTGCAATACTCCTGACTCAGCCTACCAGAGTGCAAGTATTTTGGTGAACTTTTTCTCTATTTTAATGACAAGTTTAAGTGGCAAACTGTTACTAACTTGTGGTTAAATAAAGCCATATCAAGACCTCCTCAAGCTCAGGTGTAACTTTTGCCCTCCAGAATGAGGCAGACATACCTCCATTACTTTGTTTACAAGCTTTTTTTTTGGTCTTTTTGAGACAGGGTCTCACTGTGCAGTTCTGGCTGGCCTTGAACTCACTTTGTAGTCCAGGCTGGCCTCAAACTCATAGCAGTCCTCCTGCATCAGCCTCTCCTGAGTGTTGGAATTATAGGCTTGTACTACCTGGCCCAGCTTTTATTTTTTCAAATCAATCCTAACATGATTATATCTACATTTGATTAGATATATGGTATAGTATAAATCTGGACTATTGTGATTCTATTCTTTATGTTTGGAAAGGTATTTTAAATTTGTCTTTAAATGCAGTTTTCCTCTTATGTTTCCTTGCAGGTCTTGTTTCAAAAACAAATGCAGAGATGAATGGCAAATTCCATTTTAACACTTGGATTTGTATTCTTAACTATATAATAATCAGCTTAGCTTGTGTTTGAACTTTATGAAAACCGAAATGTGTGGTGTATATTTTTTTGTGAGTGTAATACTCCTTTAGGTTAATCCTTGTTGATGGTTTGAGACACATTCATTTCTACTGTTATGTAGTATTGTGATACATCACTTAAACACAGTTTATCGATTGTTCTGCCGATGAACTTTTGGGTAATTTCCAGTTTTGTTTTCTTCTCCAGCTCAGGATGTGTGTCTATTTGTCTTTCTTCCCCTTTCCGTCTCCTTTTTTTTCAGTTTCCCTCTTTCTCTGCACTACTGGTGATTGAACCTAGGGATGGTCAACCACTGAACTACAGTTCCAGCCCCCTCCCCTTTTTTCTATTTTTGAGACAGAGTCTCGATAAATTGCTTGGGTGGAATTTGAATGTGCAGTCCTCCTGCCTCAGCATCCCTTAGTGCTGAGATTATACCAGTCAGTACCACTGTACTGACTTTTAGTTTTTTGATATAAAGAGTAATGTAGCTGCAAATACTGGTGTACAAATATTTTCTGTAAATGAGTAATGGGATTATTGACCTGGGATATGGAAACTTTAATGCACCTTGATTCTTAAATTTCAAAAAATAATTTATAGATATATAAAACAATTACAGTTGAATTCTTTTCTCTGGTTATTTGAAATATTCTCAAAGAGGTACACTGGAATTATCCTGGAGCTTTTTGAGGAAAGGAAGAGCTATTCTTAATATCCTACATGATTGGAGTTACCTAAATAACTCACAAAACATTTCAGAATTCATCCATGATCTCCTTCTCTGAATTTTATAGCACTTGCTAATATTTTTGTTCATTTCTAACAAATTTACTGCGTATATCAGACTTGCTAGCTTTCTAATTTAAATTTTAATAGCTGCATGTTACTTCCATCAAGTAGTTAGGCCATAGTTTATTTAATCATTCTCTTGTTGAAAATTTATGTTGTATCCCAGTGTTTCACTATAAATAATAGTGTGATGAATTTTGGGGGAACTGTAACTTCTTCCAGGGAAAGCATCACAGCAGCAGTAGAAAGCAGCAACTACAAGATCTTTTGAGTGATTTAAATTATATTGTCTGTTTGGCTTCCTTTAGGGACTGTGATGTCTTTTCTTATTGAATCCTCACATAAACAAGATAAACAAGATACAGTACAGTGTACCCCCACTCTACTTAGCTGAGTGTATTAGAGTGATTTATTCTTAGTATCTATCACCTAAGAATAGATAGGATTTTTTAAATCTTTACAGTCTATTTTAGTTCCATACAGAGAGGTTCAGTGGATGATATCTGTCAAAATATTTAAAATTTTTTTTAAATATACAAAATTTTCTTCTTTGCTAACTTCATCTATGGAGCCTTAATTTATCTGTATATAACATAGAAGATTGGGAGACAGTAAACTGACTACAGGATGTGCCTAGAAAAGTATTACTTAAGCCACATCTCTGACTTTTTCTGTGCTAAGAATTTAACCCAAGTCCTCATGCATACTAGGCAAACACTGTATTCCAGTGGTTATTTTTGTATGTGTTTCTATCAGTTGTCTAGTTAGGGTAAATAAAGAGATCATACTTTTATCTTTTTCTTTTCAGTGGGGCTTGAACTCAGGGCCCTGTGCCTGCTGAATAAGTCTACCACTGAGCTACGTCCCCAAGTCCCTTTTTTGGTTTGAGATTGGGACTCACTACAATAACTCAGGCTGGCCTTGAATGTACCATTTAGCCCAGAGTAGTCTTGAACTTGCAGTCCTCCTGCATTAGCCTCCTAAGTGTTGGGAGGATAAGCATGTACTACCACACCCAACTCTCAGCCCTGTTTACTTTTTATTTTGATACTGGACTCCATTAAGTGACTTAATTGCCCTAGCTGGCCTAGAACTTTTTTTGTTCTACTTCCACCAGCCTCCCAAGTAGCTGGGATTACAGGCATGTGTCACAGCATATGGATGTACTTGGAATTTTATTAGTTGGTACTTTACATACTATTGAAATTAATGCCTATTTGAAATTATAATCTGAATTGTATTAAATAAAATTGTTTCCTTAGTGGTTTACATTGTATTTTTCTTACATTTCTGCTGATTTAAGCCCCTCTCCTAACATTACTAGTAGGACAGTGTTTTCTTTTTAAAAAATCCCCTGGAGGAACAAATGTCAATGATGATGTGTTTTTCGTAATAAAATGAATTGTTTTCTATTAATCTTGTTTTTAAACCCATTATCTATATATAGTAACTGAAAAATCACTGTTTAACCGTAATTGTCTTTATTAATACTTTTTTGCTAGTATATTTGCTAATATAGTAAATATCTTTTCCTCTTCTTTAGGTATGGCTGATGGCAAGCACTGCACTTTTCCACATCTACCTGGCAAAACCTTTGTCTACAATGCTTCTGAAGATAGACTGGAGTTGTGTGTGGATACTGCAGGACATTTCCCTATTGGTCCTGATGTTGAAGATTTAGTGAAAGAGGCTGTAAGTCAGGTTCGAGCAGAGGCCACGACAAGAAGTAGAGAATCAAGTCCCTCACATGGGCTATTAAAACTAGGTAGTGGCGGAGTAGTGAAAAAGAAATCTGAGCAACTTCATAATGTAACTGCCTTTCAGGGAAAGGGGCATTCTCTAGGAACTGCATCAAGTAACCCACACCATGATCTAAGAGCTAGGGAAACTCCAGTTGTAAGAAAGCATAATACAGGGTCAGACTTTAGTAACAGTTCCACTAAAACAGAGCCTCCTGCATTCACAGCTGCTCCTAGTAACAGTGAGTTTATCCGAATAGCACCTGGAGTAGTAACAATGAGAGACAGCAGGCAGCTTGATCCTGATTTGGTTGAAGCCCAGCGAAAAAAATTGCAGGAAATGGTGTCTTCTATTCAGGCTTCAATGGACAAGCACTTGAGGGATCAAAGTACAGAGCAGTCTCCATCTGATCTTCCTCAAAGAAAAGTTGAAGGTGTAAGTTCTACAAGGTCTGCGAATCTTCAGACTGGGTTGTCTGAATCTTTTTCTTTAACTGGTGGTACTGAAAATTTGAATACAGAAATAACTGATAGCTGTGTGGCAGATGCACTGGGGGCAGCATTTTCCACGAGGTCAAAAGCACAAAAGGGAAATTCTGTGGAGGAACCTGAAGAAATGGATAGTCAAGATGCTGAGATGACTAATACAACTGAGCCAATGGATCATTCTTGATTTAATCAGGCACTGATAAGGCAGAATGTTTATTGTGAATATGTAATATTTGTTGGCTGGGCCACATAACTTGATTAGTCATTTAAAATCTTGTACATATATAATTCAAAGATTATACCTTGTTATTCAGTGCATGATAGCAAGTGTGTGATTGGCAATAGCTTTTAATATACTGCTGCCCAGGCTGGCTCTGAATTCCTATAAAGTAGATATTTAGATCTGCTGAGATAAGTTTCTTTCATTTCTGTGGTTCATTGAAAGTCTTTGTAATTCAATTCCATGAAAGTCTTAAATGTCTCAAAAATGAAAATTGTTGTGCTAAAAATGTATGATTTCAGAAAAGATCAGAACTGGAGAGGAAATGAGATTTTGCTAATGTTGATGTTATCAGGATAGCCATCCTACATTATTAGAGTGTCGAAGATTTATGTAAATTTGAAAGTTATCTAAACTAAGTTATATTTTAAAATTCTCAAAATGATTAGACAGTGATACTGACATTTTTGTGAACATAAATATATTTATAGAAATAGCTGTTCTTGGCAAAAACATCTTGAGAATAGGGTGTAATGAAAAACATTTTGCCAATTTGAGCAAAGTTAGGGAAAAATATTCTTGAATGATAATGTGATTCAGTTAGCTACTATCTGAACCAACATGGCCAATTGTGTGCTCTGTGGATAACATGTTACCATTATTTTTTGAATCCTGGCCTGGTCAAGTACCACCTAATTTTTTTTTTTGTTGTTTTGTTTTGTTTTAACCTTATGTAAGAGTTGATTTTAAATTGTGGTAGAAAATTTTGAAATAATGGTAGCAGTAGTTAATTTCTAATTTTCAGAATATGTCAGATTTACAGAGAATTTATAAATAAGAATTTATCTTTATGAATGAGTTACATTTTGATCAGTGGTATTTAACCTATATATGCTAAGTGTCTTTGAGCCCCTCTGAACCAAACATGTTTCCTTTTTTATTAGAGTCCATAAGATTATTTGTTGGCTTCACTGGATTTGGATGCAAATTTTACTGCACCATACCCTGATCAACTCAGCATTTGCTTAAATATTGTATTCATTAAATCTTTAGTGCCAGCTTCCTTAAGAAACAGCTTATCCCTTAGAAACAAAAGTGTTTATCTCAAGATTGGTATTGCACTAATTTATCCTGTTCTGCAGATCTGTATTCTGAAATGTACATTTCAATCTATCTCCCTCTGTTCACTGAAATTAAGTTGAATTTGAATGGATGAAAGACAAAAATGTAAGTTAATACAATTTCTTTCTCAGAGCATTCAAAGCCTGGCTGTCTTTGTTTGCACATTATAACAGGTGCAGAATTGTTTGTCATTCCAAGAAAATGCACATCAGAAAGCATACAATCAAGTGTTTAAAGGTTTCTGCCTGTCGATTTATAAGGGATATACACAATACTTGTTTTTCCAGTAAGGGAGGTTTTGATCATTTTTCTATGGAAGTGTCTCTAACTAAATCCACATATTAAATGCTCCATTTTGAATAAGGGAAAAATGGAGAGTCTAAACATTTTGAATAAAATGTATGTATTTGGGTTAGTTTTTATCTTATGACATCTTTCTTTGCAGCATCTTACTTCCACTCTACCCTTTCTAAATTTACTTTCAGACATCATTCTCTGTGTAAAAAACAGCAGGAAAATTCAGAACTTTGCTGTTATATACTGATTTTATATAAAGTAAGAGCTGTCAAATGATATTTAATACTTAGTATAGCTAAGTATTAAATAAAAATTATAAATATCACTTCAATAACTACTTAAACATTTTGGCTTTTGGTGCCATTGAAACACTTTTTGGGGGGAAGGGAGTGGTTTAAATATAGGAAAACTGTTCAATAACAAAAAAATACAGTGCTTCCAGACAAATTATGTTATCACCTTTAACAAATATTTTTACCTGTGGCTTGGTATGTTCAGGAAAAATGTTAAAAAAAATTATTTCCTTATTAATTACTTAAACTCAGTGTAAATTATAATGCACATGTAAATGTTAGAAGATAAGTTCAATCTCTGACAGTTTTTTATTTCTTTGTTTTTCCTCCGAATGCCTTCAGGCCAGGTTTGGCTGGCTTGAGTTCTGGGGATCGAACCATAGCAACCTGAGCCTGACTGCTTTGTTGAAGCAGCCACTTAAAGAGCTGAGCTAAGGGACAGGCCCCCAGTTTTTTATTTCTTAATGGCAGTAATGCTAGTTAGAAGCTAGTTAGGTGTGGCTATTTTAGTAACAATTGGGATTCCACCCAAGTAAAGACAAAAAGCCTTCATTTGGAGGAGTGCTCAAATTTCTTAAAATTATTTTAAATCAATTGAAATACAAATGGAATAATTATTTTTCATTGCTGAGTATTGAATCTGGGCCCTCATGTGTGCTACACAAGTACTTTCTACCCACCCCTTATTAATGATTTTTA